GAAATTGTTTTGATTCAACATGTGCCAACACGAAACTAGCAATGCTTTGTGCAGGACGCCAAACCACTTGCTTTGAAGCTTATCAATCGATGCCTGGGGTTGCGTTTCAATGGGGGCATATTTGAAATTGGATATCCCAACCTTCACAACCGAAAAATAATACAGTTAGTTTCAACCTTGCAGTGTTGAAATACTTGATTGCCTCAATGGCTGCTCAATTTATAGACCTGTAAGAAGCTTGAATACCTAATCCAAGATCCAAAAGCATATGGTTGTTGACGGAAAAGGGTGAAAGCACGCCTTTGCTCTACAACATGTTGTTACTGGTTTCCCCTGTCAGATTATATCAAAAGAGCCGGGTTGTCTTGGCCTTACTTGCATCGCTTGGTACACTCATCGATAGGACTGTTTTCTTGGAACTGTGTACAGCATACACATCAGGTCTCGCATGCCCAGTCTTGCACGGGCTGCTGGCCAAAGGAATGCCAATACAAAAGTGACTATCTCATTATCAAGTATACAACCGGAAAAATAACAGAATCACTGTAAGATGCTTGGGCCTGTCTGCTGGCATTTTTTGATGTACCACCGAACATTGATTGGCAGGATGCTGCGCACACAAAGTTCGTACAATGTTCGTACAATGGCCGAAGAGTTCGTACAATATTGTACGAACTTTAGTGGGGCATTGTACGAACATTGTACGAACTTTTTTTGCCATTGTACGAACATTGTACGAACATTGTGCGAACATTGTATGAACATTGTAAAAACACCGTACGAACATTGTACCAACATTGCGCGATGTCCGATGCTCACTCAATGTTACAACTGAAACAAATAGGCAGAGACACACAAAAGACCTTAGCGCTTTAGTCAACACAATTACGCTGGCATTGTTGCTGAAGAAAAAGCAAACTATGGGCTGGTGGAAATACATTTGGCCCTGCTGAATATAGAGTAGTTAAAAGCAACAGACTGAAACACATTATGCATGCTTCCAACCCTAACACGCCCCGATTTCCCTTGAGGGAATAGGTTCAAAGACAACAGGCACGCTGCACGCGCCGCTTCGTTTGCGTTTTCTATAGTTCAACGTGCGTAATTCCGAAAAAAATATCTGCAAAATTGAAGGAGACATAACGCAACGGTGAAAGGAATTGGCTGAGGGAAGACTATGGTGTGCTTGTCGTTTTGTGTGATTGGGGGCTCACGGTAAGCAATTTCATTTGTACAAAGTTTTTTTAAAAATATATTTATATAATATATATATATAATATTTACATTTATATTTGGTTTTATTTATATGCTTTCTACTTTTTGAAAGTGCAATGCTCGCTTCCTCAAAACACAACCACAGTCGCTTTCTAGCCTTAACAAGTTGATTCAACCCTAGGGGTTGCAGAAAACTTTCCAGGTTGCAGATCGGAGTTGCTGCGGAGGAAAATGTGGTTTAAAAGAATACCAATCAAAATTGTTTAAGCCAGTATGTCACTATGAAATGTCACATCCATGGACCAAATCCAATGATCAAATCCGAAAAACATCTCTCACAATCGCATTTCATAATCAAGTACGGCCGCGTGAAAAGGCCCCGTCACGAAGTCAGAATGCCATGTCCATTCACTCAACTTCTTTTTCGCGCTTTTCCCGACTCAATGATTCAGACGCCTTAAGAGTTTAGGGGAATAATCTTGACATTACGGCGCTACTATTCAAAGAATACCTTCGCAGAGACGGCTTTCCTCTTTTGCCATTTGCCTCTGCGTACCAGAAAAGAAAAAGGAGATCAAAACATGCTTCTGGAAGGGGGCCAATGAATATGTTTAAGTAGTAGCTTCGATTTTGCAATTCTCCTAATGGAAAACAAGCATGGGAAGGTTGATCATTTATTTTTGTGGAATCACAGCTAATATCTTGCTAAACCAACCGCTGCTATGTCGGGGTTAAGTTTGAACTTTGTTGCAATCTGTAAGGAGCACCTTGTTTCCAAGATTGTCACCAATTTCGACCGAAACAAGAAAACAATTCAGTTGTTCTTTGATTCCAATTTCGCGCGTTTATGTTTACGGCTCACTTGTTTCAGCGAAAACATCTTCCGGTAATGCAGTTTCTACATGGCTTTGAGCTGGGTGGCTTCTAGTGCAATGTTTGCGAATGATGCAACCAAATGAGGTTTAAGTAGTGGCACTGCCGCTATGGTATATTCCGAATCAGACGTCAACATGGGATCAAGGGCGCTAGTGTTGGCCATTGGAGGACCACTGTTCGAGCAAGTTAATTTACCAGATCTTCAGTTTGAGAAAGGAACTGTTTTTCCTTGGGGTTCAGACAAGTTTCTTGCGAAATTAGTTGACCTCTACAGCTCTACGGTCCGTGTCTTGCAATCTTACAATCTTACAACAATGAAAGTGTATGCTGCCCTTGCGCACCTTGGCATGAACAGTTCCAAATACATGATCTGACCAAGCCAAGCCTAGCGCTTCAAAAACCATTGTGGCAAAGAAACAGATTTTGACAAAATGCGCAAAACATCTCAATGTTTGAAATATCCCCTATCCCGACATTAGGTAGCTACTGACATAACCTGATGCAATTGTTGCATTTTTTTGGCTGTCTTTCTCAGCTGCAAAAGGAAACAACGGCGCCTATCTTTTGGGAGCGCGTAGAATTTAAAACTTGCAAGCTGTAAAGCATACTTCAGATCAATGCAACAAACTAAGGACATGTGAAAGCAGGAAAGATATACAAAGTATATTATATATATATATTGTATCGTCTCGCGGGGAGCTAGACAAAACCAATAGGAAGACCAAACAATCGGCTAAACAATCCCCGAGTAGCAACGTTCTGGCCATCCAAAAACGTTGGCTTAAGGACGTGTCATGAAGCAACAGTCCGGCGTGCTTTTATGGAATTGCTTGTCACCTATGTCCAAGTCTAAGTCTTCTGTAGGCAAAAGGGCGAGAGTATATGATGTCTTTTCTCCAAGTTTAGTTGTGAGCTAAGGTGTACCTTCTCATTAGTGGATACAACCAGGTAGCTGGCTCAGGGATGTTCGTCAGTTTCTTTCTTAACCGTGTGCTCAATGTTGTTTTAAGATGTGTTAAAGTCTTACAAGTAAAATGACCATACATGTCTTTACTTGAATCCTCCCGAGGCAAAAAAAATATGGATACCCAAATCTAGTGAAACACTTCAGCTGCCAGTGACTGTCCCAGTTGCTACCCCTATGCTCGGCAAGAATCAAACCAGTATTACATGATATGTGGCATCTTGCACTTTGAAAGGTTTTCAGACACAAAACAGGTACAGAATCACGCGCTTTGCCAAGGATGTTTGGATCACATCATAGGCACATTTGTCACTTATGCGCTTTTCAGAAGTTCAGGAAGGTCAAGCCGAACCGACTTGCAACTACGTGTCCAAGGTAAAAGGAAGCATTCAGCATGCTCTTGTCTTCAGACGAAAAGAATTAGTTCGTTATTTCTGGGGTCTTTTGCCCTGAGGGCCGAACTAGGGGATTTTGTCCTTGGACACTATCTTTGAAGGGGGGATCCTGATTATGAATCGGCACTTCATGTTTGGAAGTCGCTCAAATGTTGCTCGGTTTGGATAGTTGATAGATTTTCTGATGAAATCTAGCTACATCACAAAATATTTCAAAAAATGGCGGCATATATATGAAGATATTCAATGTGTTTTTTCAAGGCAGTCTCAAACCAGGTCCTTTTCCGTGACCAAAGGCTGGCAACAATCCGGGTGCCAGGAACACAGTTTTGGTATTTGTATGTATTTGTGGCATAGCTTTCCAAGATGCGTAGCACCTGTAGGGGTTGAAAATCCATGAGTTTTCCAATTCGGCTCTTGAAAACGATATCTGATTAAGATTTCAGCTTATGTAATAAATTTGCAGCAAAAATATTGCAAAACTGAAAATCTAAGAATACAGGGCGGATTGCAACTCCATGTTTTGTCCAAATCGGCTCAACGCCATTAGTAACCTGAAATAAGGCAGTTTTGGGATGATTCCCCTTATTAAACCAGGATTCCAGTGAGGTCGCAGTGAAGTCCTTATAAATTGCCCAGATAAATGGAGGTACCCCAAAATGGTCGGGTTATAATGGAACATCCTATTTGGAATGGATGATTTGGGGGTACCCCTTCAGGAAACTCCCAAATGGAGGTACCCCAAAATTGTTGGTTTAGAATGGAAAATCCTATTAAAATGGATGATGTGGGGATACCCACATTTTAGGAAACCTCCATCTGAGGTGTATCTGGTAAATGTCCCCTGAAACTTGAAACCAAGTGATTTTCACTGGTCCAGCTTCGTTTACTATCGATGTTTTGGAAAATAATGAAGGATTCTCCGTTTTGACATCTCAGAATTCAACTGAAATGTTGCAGTTAAAATAATGGTGTCCTCCAAAATATCTCCTTAACCAATGCATACAAATACTGTGGAAATCTGCGCCATATATCAGGTAATTAATACTGATAAGATCAAGTAAAGTATCTGGGTAAATTATAATGTTTCACCTAAATTAAGGCTCACAATCAAAATGTGTTCCCCAATTCTAAGCCAGATTTCAGGGTTACCCAGAAGACATGGCAGCCTAAATTCATGGCAGGGCAAGGACGCAGCTGCTCTTTTTATCATCTCATGCCGCCAATCCTGGAAATGCCCTACAGGATGGGGCCCCCAGTCGATAGCGTGAACCGAATCGCCTTATTTCAGTGGCTGAATTCTATGGTTTATGGTAGATATACCTATAGTATTCATGGGGTTTATCAACCAACAAACATCACTGGGGGGCCCATCCTGTGGAAATCCTTCAATTTCCTGAACATCCGCTTGGATCAGAAGCAACTCGTCCAGCAACGGACAACTACGGCTAATTATAGGGTGGATCGTGAGGGCAAAGATGATAATTTTTATGGCTATAAACTTAAACCAAGTGGTTTTATCATCAGCAAATTAGATCAGTCGCTGTGCTGTCACGAATGGGTGCTGCAAAATGTGCTCTGGAGATCCTCGATCGTCCCATCCAAAATGATCCAAGCCTGAAAATCCCCTGGGGGCGAAGCAGCTTGGACAGGCGGAATCTAATTCCTATTGATTTTTTCGCGCCCTGGAAAAAAACCCAAGCCCTGGCGGCTAATTGAGTTTGAGGGCGTTTTCAACTTTTTGTTCGGATACTGTGAGGCTCGTCTTGGTTAGGCATCCAGAGGATCAGCATCACAGCCATCTAGACCTCGTCTGGTGGCGGAGGGGGTAGGCAGCCACCTGGGACATCCAACCCCTGAAATCTGTGCTGTGAAAGCATGCCAGGGATGAAGGTGTGAATTTCACTTCGAAGAGTCGTGTTTATGTCAAGATAGGCGCGGGCTTCAAGCGTTTCTGGGAAAAAAACATCAGGGCGAAACAAATTTTTGTTTGGACAAACCCTCTGGAAAGGTGTGAATTTTGGGGGGCACCAAAAAGTGGAATGATGGGCCCACAGTTTTGTAACAATGTTAACATCGTTGCGCCACATTGATTTACAGGGAGTATCGCTAAGGCTGATTGTAGCTAAAGTAGATACGATAAAATAATTGTTGTAGTGGAACTAGTAGTACTAGTAGTACTAGTAGTACTAGTAGTACTAGTAGTACTAGTAGTACTAGTAGTACTAGTAGTGCTAGTAGTGCTAGTAGTGCTAGTAGGACTCGTAGTCCCTTTTGCAGTAGTAGTACTAGAAGTACTACGTAGTCGTACCTTTTCCCTTCCTTTTCCTTTAACCGTGAGCCCAAATCTATCGTTGATGCGATTGACGAAATCGACATGATCGCAAAATAGGTTATCGCTGTTCGGAAAGGTCCCATGGCGAACCTCAGTAGCTTGCACTGAAAACAAAGGTCCAGTCAATGCATATCTTAGCTTCCGCGAGTTTTGACGGTTGCTCACATTATATATATATATAATATATATATAATATATATATATAATAAGTCATAATTACTAGTGATAAATTAGTAGTAATACTAATAATAATCCTAATAATAATAATGCTAGTGATAATCCTAATAATAATACTAATAAATAATGCTAATAATACCAAAAAATAATCGAAGGAAGTTTAGAAGTCAAACTTCCGACAATATGAACAGATGAAAAGTAGAGATGGGAAGAGTCACAGAGAAGAGAAGAGTAGAAGAGAGAAGGTCAGAGAAGAGAAAGAGTCAGAAGAAAGAAGATGCAGATGCGCGAAAAGGTAGGAAAGTCGCGATTCACTGCGTTTTTCCAATGATTTGTGGCTCCGGAGGGTCGAAAAGTAGGCTCGCTAAAGCGGCGGGTGCAGAGCCATCTGGCCAGATGAGAGATGAAAAAGTGCACGCCGTTGTGGCGCGAAGCACATTTCGAAGTCAAAATGTACAAAACACACATTTCGGACCACTTTTGGAAGTTGAGATGTCGAAAAAGTGCACGCCGTTGTGGCGCGAAGCACATTTCCAAGTCAAAATGTACAAAACACACCATGTCGGACCACTTTTGGAAGTTGCGATGTCGAAAAAGTGCACGTTGTGGCGCGAAACATTTCGAAGTCACGCCGGACCACTTTTGTTGAGATGTCGAAAAAGTGCACGAAGCACATTTCAAGTCAAAATGTACAAAACACACCATGGTCGGACCACTTTGGAAGTTGAGATGTCGAAAAAGTGCACGCCGTTGTGGCGCGAAGCACATTTCCAAGTCAAAATGTACAAAACACACCAGGTCGGACCACTTTTGGAAGTTGAGATGTCGAAAAGTTTGTGGCGCGAAGCACATTTCGAAGTCAAAATGTACAAAACACACCATTGTCGGACCACTTTTGGAAGTTGAGATGTCGAAAAAGTGCACGCCATTGTGGCGCGAAGCACATTTCGAAGTCAAAATGTACAAAACACACCAGCGTCGGACCACTTTTGGCAGTTGAGATGTCGAAAAAGTGCATGCGGTTGTGGCGCGAAGCACATTTTGAAGTCAAAATGTACAAAACACACCATTGTCGGACCACTTTTGGAAGTTGAGATGTCGAAAAAGTGCACGCCGTTGTGGCGCGAAGCACATTTTGAAGTCAAAATGTACGAAAACACAACATTGTCGGACCACTTTTGGAAGTTCAGATGTCGAAAAAGTGCACGCCGTTGTGGCGCGGAGCACATTTCGAAGTCAAAATGCTCAAAACACTAGGGGTTCGGACTCGGACCACTTTTGGAGGTTCAGATGTCGCTTCGCTTCACTACACTACACTACATTACACGACACTACACTCCACTACACTACAGGACATTACACTACACTACACTCCAGTACACTCCACTACACTAAATTACACTACACCGCACTACATTACACTACGCTACGCTCCACTACACTACACTACACTACATCACATTACACTACACTACACTACACTCCACTACACTACATTACACTATACTACACTATCTTCCACTACACTTCACTCACTACCTTACACTACACTACGCTCCATTACACTACAACTACAACTACAACTACACAACTACACTCCACTACACTCCGCTACACTCCACTACACTCCACTACACTAAATTACACTACACTACACTGCATTACACTACATTCCGCCACACTCCACTACACCACACTACATTACACTACACTACATTACACTGAATGACACTGCACCACAGATAGACAGGTAGACAGATAGATAGACAGACAGATAGATAGATAGATAGAGGTAGACAGGTAGATCAGTAGGTAGGTCGGTAGATAGTCAGAGAAAGATAGAGAAACAGAGAGAAAAAGAGAGAAAGAGAGAGAAAGAGTGAAAGAGATCAATCACCTTTCAGTCCATCAGTGGCTTCGCTCTGCCATCATTGATTCACAACAACCAACCTCTCCTATAGGTTTCCTATGTTTGAAACTTCCGCCACCGCCTTGTGCGGTACTACTGGTGCCAATACTACTACTGATAATACTATAATAATGATACACATATTAATATATATATATATATTATTATATATCAAAAATAATACTGAAACTAAGAATAATGTGCAGTATGTCTTAGGATCATCAACTTCTGACTTCTCTTCAGTATGGACCATCCCGAGGACTGTGTATTTCCTTGCCTACTGACTGACCATGTCACGCCCAGCTGGTGTGGCTCCATTGGAAGCCTTAGCCTTTTAGACCCAAAAAACATGGGTGTATGAATTTGTCTGAATAGAGAATATGGCCAACAAAAACAAAGCCATTTCGTCTATCCGAATGTTCCCTATGAAAATGGCCATACCTGGAGGCAAGCCCATCAGACATGTCAAATGTTGGTAAAGCAATGTCATAAACCACCCATATGAATTGATGGTTTATAGCACCCATAAAAATGGTAAATTTGGGGATGGTGGATCCTATTGCTTTACCAACATTACATGACTTTCCCGCCAGCCATTTGCGCCAAGTCACCACCCGCCGGGTCCAAGTCAGCGTTGTGCATCCAATTCCAGAGCTCTATCCTCCATCGATCCCCGGAGTAAGGATATAATGGGCCTATATGTTGGATACCCTCTGGTAAACGTTAAAAGAAAACTATGGAAAGATCCACCATTGTTAATAGGTAAATCAACTATTTCTATGGGCCATTTCAATAGTTATGTACACGTTTACCAGAGGGTTTTTACCATGTTTGATGACCATGTTGGATATATGGGATTTAAAATAATAATAGTGGTCTAAATAGTGGATATCTAAATTATTTCATATATTGTATACAAAGGATATAATGTGGTATATATGTATATATTATCATCTACCTAGAATGGTTATGAAGGATAACTCCTATTCATCAACAAGTGGGAAAAGACTTCTGTGGATTCACAATAGTACCCTCTGGCAAACTAACATAACTATGGAAAATCACCATTTTTGATGGGTAAATCCATTATAAATTGCCATTTTCAATAGCTATGTTAGTTTACCAGAGGATATCAAAAAGTAGTCGCCGTTCTAATAGTAGTGGTCGATTCTCGTGCAGGATCCTTTTATGGCGCTGCCTATCCCATGCAGGACGCGTTCTGCTTGCTAATCCTTCAGCTTGGCAATCCATCCATTCGTTTGGAACGGCATGGCATGTCAAGGCCATAAAAAAAGAGACCTTTTTTCAGTACCAGAGATTGAATCACAGATTGGAATGTCTCACAAAAATTGGTACCATGATAGATCATGTGATATCATGTGTTCTTTTATACTTGCTATCACTAATTAAATAGACATTAGTGACATTCCCCCTGACCAAAAAAAATCGCGCCCAGGGCCTTGAAGAGCGCCAGAAAGGCCTCGGGTTCCTCTTCAGCCTCGACCTGTAAAATTGGAGGGCTAAACGATATGTAAAATGAAGGGTTTTGATGGGCACATATGGGAAGATCATATAAAAATATTTAAACATCTGTATAAATGGATCTCTTAAATAAGGAATATCCATCTATAAATCCCATATATATATATATGGGGGCTTCCATAAATGAGGATACCTCAAGCTTGCACCCCCATTGTAAAGAAACCCCCTATATTTAAATGTATGTCTTAAATCCTCTGGTTATTTGTTACATTTTGTGACATAGCTAAGCCGCTTAGCCCATGAAACGTTCGATGATGAAAACGATGGTTTTTTCTATTCTCAATCTAGATGTTCCAGCGCGCTGCCTCAAATTACCAGAGTTGAAGATTCGAAAAAAATAACTGGTTGGTGGTTTCAACCCCTCTGAAAAATATGAAAGTCAGTTGGGATGACTATTCCCAATATATGGAAAATCAAAAAATGTTCCGAACCACCAACCACATAAATAAAAGTGAAAAAACATAGTCATGGTCCATGATGATTCATCGAAACTTTGAATGATCCCATACCCTCGAAGCCCGAGCAATACTCCGAGCAAATAACACCGGAGCAATTCATCCAAAATAACTAGATTCACCGATATGATAGGGGTCCTTTTTCATGGGTGGGTCCCAATTTCAACAAAGGCGTTCCATACTCAATTCATCTAATTTTGGATGATGTCAGGGTAAAATTGTATAGTGTCTTTGGAGCACTAAATATACTAACCGTATTGAAGATACCCTAAGCTATCTAACAGTACCATGACTTTGCTTGATTTCTCAATGATACCATAACTTCAGAGTCTCCCAACAGGAGCGGTGGAAATGTGGGCGTCGCCAGAAAACCACCCCCTGGCCCAACCAGCAACTGGGCCTGAAAAATATCCAATTCTTCTAGCCTTGGTTTTGCGATTCAGAATTGAACCTTGCCTGCATTTTTGGGTATGTTAAAAAGGGAGTTCCCTTTTTGTAGATTTACCCAAGCACCCATACATTTGGTGTATCATTGTTGATCCACCAGTTGATCAATATCAGTTGGAAAACTGACCGATGGAAACACAAAACGACCCACAGGAATATAAAATCCATCATCTTCTGAGCAAATCCAATGTCGGACTCACCATAAATCATGGTTGACAGGGGACACATCCCAAAAATGACTTATTTCCAGTTTGGGAACTATTGAAAATAGGAAATCAAGTCCAGTTTTTGACATTTATCCATGAATTTTCAATAGAACAGGATAGATAACCTCCAGTACACTAACATAGATTTGGAAGGTCCACCCTTTGTAGATCATGCCCAAAGGAAACCAATTGATGTCCCTAGTTTTGTGTATGTTTACTGACTTTACTGGAGGGTAAAAAACAGCATGATGATAGGGATCATTCCCCAGGGGTGTCGAATGCAGCTACTGCTCTAAATTTAACAAATAGACAGCGAATCCATCTTCTGAGCAAATCCAATATCCAATATCCAACAATATCCAAAATATGTGCTAGTCAAAACATGGTATCTGATGTATATATAGTCATCCCACAAATTTGATTTTCTTTCACATCTAACCTATATTCTATGGATTCAAGTCCACCTTTTTAAATCCAAGGATACAAAAAAAAACAACCTTCTGACCTTCCCTTCCAAATGATTCGGCTGACTCCAAGCAGCCACTTGAGATGATCCTGTCGATTGGGCGCCACTGGAGCTTCGAGAGCTTCAAGAGCTTCGAGCTCGAGATTCTCGGATTCACCTGAGATGTGTCTGATGGGGATACCTAAAAAAAAACGTTTGAATGGGGAAAATGGTTGTTCTAAACATGGCAACAAAACCATCGAATAAAATCGGAGGGACCCCAAATTTGAACAAACAAAACCATAAAATTTGAGGAGAGGTGCTACGCAGGAAAAAATATGGAAAAAAACAAATGCACAACAGGATCAACTCCTTAGAGGGTCCCCATTGGTTGAGCCACTCAACTGAGACCATGGCAGCAATGGTAACCTACCGTCCCACTTAATGGTGAGCTATAGGATCTCGGCCGTGGCCGGCCAAATCGTTGGATATATGTGGCCCATCTGATCATTGAAAGCATGTGCCATCCCTGAAAAATGGTGTCATCTCACTATAATCAGGGGATCGAAGAATCCCAATAACCTCAAGATCAGTTTTTCAATGTCGTGTCACATAATCTCATACAATCCTTTTTGTGTCAACATCCTCCGTCCTAGCATTACCCTGAAACTGAAGAGGGGCCAGCCCTCTTCAGGTGTGCTTCCACCAAGCTATGACCAAGGTATCCAAGTTGCAGTCACTGTCACTGAGACTGTCCCAGGATGAGTAGGACTGAAGATTCATCTGATCCTGGAAGGTCCATGACTAGCTGCGATGTGAAGACTAGGGGCATCCAAAGAAACGATGGTATGGCTGGATCCAACTATGGTTACTAATGGTTAATATATGGTTAATATATGGTTAATATATGGTTAATATATGGTTAATAATAATCTGGTTGGTGGTGCAATGACCATCTTGAAAAATGATGGAGTTCGTCAATGGGAAGGATGACATCCCTTCTATGGAAAACTAAAATTCATGTTCCGAACCACCAACCAGATAACAAACATAGAAACACGTTAGCCGAGAACGATTTCTACACAATCCTAGACAAAAGGGTGGCATTACGTGGCCTTAGAAACATGTTAGCCGAGTATATGGCTCTGAAAATGGAGAAAAAAAACGTTTTTTTCGCCAAAAATTGTCATTTCGACCAGCGGATTTGGAGGTTCTCCTCAACTTGGGAGACAGTTCTCTCGACCAGAATCACCTGGCAGCGACAGCCAGCCGGTGGTTTTTTTCGGGAAAAGCCATGGATTTGGGATCATGTTAACCGGGTGTGCCTTTGTTTCTCACACCGGTCTGCTAAAATATTCCATATGGCTCCAGGTATGCTTGTCCTGGACCCACGAACCAATTTCGGGAGAAAGTCGCAATTTTCGGTGGATTCCGCCTAGTTTTGACCTATACCGTAGCTGCTAAGAAAAATGTTCCCCGGACATAGCCCGCGGGTTGGTTCTATATCAATAATATCCAATAATCCTCTGTCATTTGGTTTGAAACGAAAATTTCTGACAGCTACTCTACAACGAGGGACCCCCCTTGACAAGCAATTTGGTTGATAATCTAATTGGGACTGAAGGCATACTTTTAGCAGATTCTCTAAGAAATAACAGAAAGCTTTTTCATAAGTGTCATCTGGGATTTGTGGTCGAGATATATCATAAGGTCACATCTCCGGCCTTTCAGAAGCCAACCAGGTTTTTTTACATGACTAATTACTTCACTAGTACGTTTAAGTTACTCTAAGGTTGGATAGTAAAATATATATATGTAGTACCCTCTGGTAAACTAACATAGCTATGGAAAATCACAATTTTCAATCGGTAAATATTTCTATGCCATGTTCAATAGCTATGTTGGTTTACCAGGGGGTACATTTCAAGCAAATCTTGTTGAGTAATAAATGGTGCAACTTGGCAGACTTAGCAGATTGCGTGCGTGGCAAGTTGCTTGTGCCAATCTTACAAGTGGTAGATAACCCTAGTGATTGGGTTCATTACAACCAACCCCAATTTTGCTGGTAGTTCAAATTCCTCATGAAAACTTGCTATGTTGAGGAACCACTGGTTCATCATCAAGTTCATCCAATTACGAAAACTCATCACAAAAACAGTGTTTTTAACACCCAGTTTCAGACACCCAAATCACCCTGGTACCCTCCAGTTCATCTAGTTCAATAGCTGGCTGTTTTAATATGTTTTAATTCATGGCCCAATTCTAAGCTTCGTCCACATCGGTCAAGGGGTTCTCGCACGAAACCCCCGGTGCCTGAGGTTTTTCCCGAAGGCTCTTCATCTCTTTCTCTGCGATGCCGGCGATGCCAGTCGTTGAGGCCCCAGCTCCCATGGCTTGCTCAGCGAAGCGCTGAAGGCGATGCGGAGCGGAGCGGGGATGTGTTGAGCCTTTCAGTAAACGTGGAAAACTCCCTCATGGCCGAAAACAATGCAGGTTTACCCTCTGGTAAATGTTTACATTAACTATGGAAAATCCACCCATGTTTAATGGAAAAATCCACTATAAATGACCAGTTTCAATAGCTATGTTAAATTACCAGAGGGTAATATCTGGGAAACTCATCGAAGTATTGTTGGTGGATTTTCCAGCCGCAATAAACCGATTTCCAGAGGTCGAAGTACTAACCACGTGACCCTCTTTTAGTTGCTAGAAACCCGAAGGAACTCTGGAGAACGTGACAAGAAAATGTCATAATTGTCATTGGATATTCATGCCAAATATGTTTCAAACTTGCCATCATACATTCATACATCTTGTTCATGGTCTGTGCAGAATATGTCTTGGTTGTACCAATGCAAACAAGCATACAGGGCTTGAAAAAGCCATGTGTAGCATACGCCATATCTCTGGCTGCATCATTGGCGCTGAACCTTTGGCCAATGATGCCTTTACAAATCTACTGCCAAATATCATGAAATTAGTCATGATACCCTCTGGTAAACTAACATAGCTATGGAAAATTGTCATTTATAGTGGATTTACCCATTAAAAATTGTGGAATTTCCATAGTTTTTTGTTAACGTGTGCCAGAGGGTAGTCTAATAAACCCAATGATCGACCGCCGTTCTGGAGACTCAATAGCATGGTCGTATTGGGGTCTGAGAACATATGGTGGAACGCCCAACGAAAATTAGAATGGCCGTAGGTCGGGGGTATGCCCCATGGACACCCAACTATTGTATTAAGTTGTAGATTAGTTATAACCCATCTTCTATCCCCATAAAATATCCCATATGTGGTAAATGGACTTGTTCAATAGGGTTTGGTTCCATGAGTTCAATCGCACCCCTTTCAGCACCAAAAAACACACCAAAAAAAAAAACGGGCACCGCACAGGGAAGGTGCAGAGCATTTCGATCCATTCAGCCTGCTGTTGGGAATCAATAGCCGAGGCTGGCAAACTCCCCGAACTGATCTAAGTGGAGGAGAATGGAGGTTTCCCATGGAGGTTTCCCATAGCTCCCAAAGCGATTTGGATTTCATATGTTACCCCTCCAACCTCGTCCAACCTAAACATAGATGTGGAAAATCCACCATGGATGATCCAATCATTTTCCGAGGAAACCATGGCTTTTCCACATCTGCCTGTTGACCCCAGGGCACTTCCTATGCATCCTTGGCAAGTGCAGGATAGTTAGATTGATCCACTGAAGAATATGTTTATTTATCTAGGTGATATCTGATGGATCGAATTATCACCAGAAATGCGACAAGATCAGGATTCAAGCAACCAAACATGTCTTTTCAGCTGCCAAAACGGTGAACTAACCATCAAAACTTCATGGATTGTACCTACCAACCAACCTGAACTCGAAGGGTGAGCCTATGGTGAATTCCAGGAAATGGTGAGCATTTGCCAAAAACTTCGCCACCCACAACCATGACAAGGGCGAATCACAACCATGGAAAAATAAAACACTTACCCTCTCGTAAATTCACATTTTGCCTCTAATTTAGGCCCTATTCCAAGGGAACATCTGGCATTCCAAATCTGGTATCCCACCTGTGCGGGTTTCTTCAGCCTGACGTGTCGACGTCTGAGAGGGATGACCAACGTTTTCTGCAACGAGTTCCATTGGGAAAACGGTGATAAAAATGGTGATTTTTTAAAGTAAAAATGGTAAAAATATAGTGATAGAATGGTTCATTTAAGTTGATCTGGACTTATTTGGAGTGCCATAGAATTTTGGTGAAAAATCCATTGGGGAACATCATCCCACAATGCCGAAATCAGCGTCTCAAAACTAAGGATTTCTGTGTTTATTCAAAACTAAGTCCCTGGATGCCAATGCCAAAACAATATGTGTTGACATTCAGCAAAATCTATCTTTGGGGGATCACAGAATCACTCCTCTCCCATCTTTAGCCCCCCACTCAACTCGCCATCGGTATGCATCCTGTCGGTTTCAAAGCCACCAGCAGGCGTACACCAAAAGTTGGGAATGTTCACCAGCAAAAAATGTGGTCCCAACAAGAGAATGGGGAATACTTATAGAGAGACTAAGCTGATGCAAGTGGATTCCCACTAATCATTTGCGCGAAACACCCATTAGCATTCATTTAACAACTTACTCACTGGGACGCACTTCCAAGTTTCGTGCTGGAAAATCCCTGGTCCCAGCCGACCGGAATGTCTTTGGGGCTGGTCGAGCCACCAAAAGGCCCTGGTTGCGATATCCCAGGCATTGCTATGATGATATATGATACATTGGTATATGATGTTCGGAAAAAGGAGGTATGATGATATTTTTTTTACTACCACTGCGCTCGTGTCTTGCGACGCCTGTCTGTTGCACCCAGAAAAGCTGCTGTGGCACTGGATGACTTGGAATTATATAATTTCCCCACTGTTCACTTCAAGCTTTTTAGCCTGGCACACTAAGCGGGGCCAGTATGATGATAATATAGTAATATGTAGTATGTAGTATATAGCATACAGTATATACAGTATATAGTATATAGTGTATAGTATATAGTATATAGTATACAGATATTATATATACATCACTTCACTTTACTTGGCGCTAAAGGACGTCCTTCCTTGCTGCCGCTTGCAGTAGGTTCCGAATTAGGGAAAAGCAGCGCATCACCCCTGGAAAACAGGAAGCCACATGGCTTCGGCTCTGATGCTAGCACATTCAGTAGCCACATCATCGAGCCACTGTGCGTGGGATGGCGCAGGGCTGCTGGTACTTGTGACCGTCTTTGCCCGCAGGTTCCTTTAAAAAAATGGCTGGCAATCGCACATGCCAATCCAGCGGAGAGTCTAGCTGGATATTCTTTACACGGCAGTGCGGAAGTTGCCAGAGCTGTCTACACCAATGGGACAGGACTGATGTATATTTACCTACATGTGTCTGGCTAATTTGAATGGGGTAGATGAAGATGATGGTACACCATACATGGAATATTGTCAATCCGTAGTCCCGCAGGATCATCGCAGTGCCCACGCTCACAGCGGCTCAAGCCTGGAAAGAACTACTGAGGATGGAACATCTGGCAACTGAGCACACGGAAAGGGTGACACAGGTGTGAAACTTGATCATTTGACAGCGTGTCTGTGCTCTTCCATGAAATCAAAGAAATCTGCCACGTCATGCTCTGCAAACGGGTAGCCGCTCTTTTCCAGGTAGGCCACCTCTGCAGTTTGGGACCCCCCGAGCCCGGTGTTTTGGCGAACCTGTTTCACCAGAGCTTTGTTCGCCAGATCTGCCCAGGCCATCTTGCCTTGTCCAACTTTGCCTTGGAAGTAGAACACATGCAGAGTTTGGCCCAGGCGGTGAGCTTCTTTTACCTGGTGGTTTTAACCATCTTGAAAAATATTAGTCAGTTGGGGTGATTATTCCCAATATATGGAAAAATAAAAAATGTTCCAAACCACCAACCAGTTACTCTGTTCTTCCAGAGGTGGAACCATTCACAACCCCAAGGCGCCAAGCCTTGCTTCTGCTCGCATTTCTCTTCTGCTTCCTTCTCCGCAGCCTCCTTCCGGACTTGCCAATCTGCATCTGATTCACCATCTTGCTTCACCAAGAAAACTTGTCCCATGGCAGCCGCATCGATCTTTTTGAAGTCAAGCTCTTCCTGCTTCAACTTGCTTGGCTCTTCCACTATGCTAAGGTACGCTTCCTTGGTCAGGTGCCCGTACAGGGCACGGCACCAGCAGCATCCCGGTTGATCAGGGTTCGAAGCATGTCGGCCTAAGCCGGACGCTGGGTCTGTCAAGAAGACGCACGCTAAGCTGACTGCACCGGACCGCAATTGCACTTTGCGCACCGCAGCGTCCCATTCCTTAGATGGTTTGGCAAGTGGCATGGTTGAACCGACAAGGTCGCAGAAACCCACATTCAATGCAGCGATTGCCCTTTCCACCTAAAGTTGGGCATGCTGTCAATATCTGTGCACTGTTGTTCCCGTCTGGTACCTGAATGTTGGCTCTAAATCTATCTATATGTTATTCTATTTAAATTTCGGGTATCTAAAGCCTAAAGCACTACGATGCTACCGTTCTAAAACTGATAGCCCACTAAAAAATCCAGATACAGCATCTACAGTAGGAATAACAGTGGGCATCCTGCGCCGATCAATCGGTGACACGTTGAGTCCATGGAACTCACGGAACTTTTCAGGAGTGAGCAACTCTGCCGTGAATGTGTTTGGGTTGGAAAAATGAGGGCTACTCAAACATATGAGAAGCTGATCTGATAAGGAAGAGCTGCTAGAACTTATTCATCCTTGAAGGTTCGCCTTTTGCCAACGTTTGGGATCCTTCAAAATATGTCGAAAGGATCGTTGATTAATGAGCGGATCGGATGGGCCTGTGTTTTCCGAAAGAACTGTACCCCGTTGCATCCCCTTATGTTGTTTCCAGCATTGTGAACACCTTTCCCGGCTGGATGAGAAATGTGCAACCTTTCAAGGGGCGTAAAGAAAACGGATGTGAAGCGTATTTCAATTAAAGACTCAGAACCCATCCCCAGGTATATGGCTATGGGTCAAAACCCTGCACCCCTGATGATCATCCGTAAAATGAACAGAATAAGGGTATTGGGATGTCCAATTACCCAAGTTTGGTGATAATTTCTATTGTCCCATGGCCACGTTAACCCAAAATATCAACCAAAGTTTGGTACATATAGCATACATTGATGGTACGGTTCATTTTTGCAACCCCACAAAAAATAGGGAGCGGAGCTGAGGGGAGGTGGAAAGCCCCTACACTAACGCCCAACATTACCATGAAACTGGTGAGCCAAAACATTCCAACTTAACTGAATCGGATGGCTGGCTTTGCTGGGCTGTCCACATGTTCTCTTTTGTACTCCGGATGTTTTTTTTTTCTGAATGTCATTTTAATACGACCTTGGGTTAAACAAACCAATTGGAACCAAAACATGCCTGATGGTTGGGTTCGGTTGGGTTGTGCCAGTCTAACTCATTAGTTTATAAATCGATATAGTATAAACATATATAAACTTGAATAAACTAGGAGAGGAGGTCCGCACTACAAGTTAAAACTCGCAAAACTGTACAATCTGAACCTGTCTCAAGTACATGTCCGCACAAACAAAATGCATTATATAACTTGAGGCCGGGGGTGGATGACGAAAGCTAGCGGGGTAGGAGAAAGAAGGAAGGGAAGAGGTGAGTTGCGGAGGGACTGTCATCATCGTGTCGCGGCATTGTTCGTCCCAACGAGGATGCAACAATGATATATGATATATGATATATAACAATGATATATATGGGGGAGGGGGCAGGGGGGGGGCCCTTTCGCGTGAAAAATCACGTGATGTCCTTGGGGAGCCCCGGAATACTTGCTAAAGCAAGAAGACTCTAGCGAGCTGACGCTACCTTTCGTGATAATGCCAACAATTGCCAATAATGATGAAATGTAAGTGAATAACGATGATGATGATGATGATGACGACGATGACGATGACGATGACGAGGACGAGGACGATGACGATGACGATGACGAGGACAAGGACGAGGACGATGATGATGATGATGATGATGGTGATGGTGATGGTGATGGTGATGGTGATGATGATGATGATGATGACGATGACGATGACGATGACGAGGACGAGGACGAGGACGATGACGATGACGATGACGATGATGATGCTGATGATGATGATGATGATGATGATGGTGATGACGATGATGATGACGATGATGATGACGATGAAGATGACGATGACGATGATGATGATGATGGTGGTGGTGGTGGTGGTGGTGGAGGGGGGGGAGGGGGGGGGGGGGGGGGTCCCCCCCTTTCGCGTGGAAAATCACGTGATGTCCTTGAGCAGCCCCCGGAATACTTGCTAAAGCAAGAAGACTCCAGCTAGCTGACGCTAGCTTTCGTGATTAGTAATCATAATTATCGAAGCATAATATGACACATTGACAGTATCGAAACCATACACCCTCAGGCCAAGGTTCTCCAGCATAGGAACCTGGGAAGCTCACAATGCAATGGGGCGAATGACTGTTGATCTGCCCCGGGAACGCAATGCGGTTGGCTTTGGTACGGGCCATGTAGGCCAACTCGTCAAGCACCTGATCCAGCTCCAGTGCTCCCCGCGGTCCAACCATGCCACCCAAGACCAATATCGAGAACAGCACGAATACATCGTCAATGGTGCAGAAGGTTGGCAGAGCGCCAACAGTGTTGAAAAAGTTAGAGGAGTCACACCAAAAGATTTCCACGAAAGGCAGGTAAAAGGAATCGATGATGGTCAGGCATGCACCAAGGCGGAGCAAACTGACCGTTCTCGATGCCTGTGTCTGCAACTCGGGATCTTTGCGGGCATGATCCTTGGTGTATTGCTGCTTGGCGCTTGCTTCGCGGAACAATATCGTGGCCGGAACTAAGGTGAGGATCGGCAAAGCGGCCACCTGGAGAACAACCCTATCCAAAGAATGAAATAGACTAAAGCGAATGCCACTAATTCGAAGCATACCGTGCAGCACCACCCAGCAGATCCAAGCCGGCCTGTAGCCGGATCCTGCAACTTGCCAGCCCAGGCTGTGCAGCTTCAACCCCGTGACCTCAACCAGGAAGAATCGGATCATCCACCGGACCAACATGACGAATTCAAGAAAAACCCATTTCTGCTCCTCCTGGAACACCTCCAGGAACACGTCCAGCAACACGTTGGAGTCCAGCACAACACTGAAGAGATTGACCAAGAAGCATCCAGCGAGGCTCATCCAGTGCAGCCGAGACTTCCAGTCGAAGCGCCAGAAGAACGGCACAAAAGCCACAGCACCGATCAGAGGCCGAAGGAGGCCAAAGATGACATGCAGCACTTCCATATCTTCCATAGGGAGATGGCTTCCATACGGCCACGAATAGAATTTCACATTCGGCCTTTGGACCATCCGCAGCACAGTGATGACGAACAGCAACAGTGCCAGCAACATCTTCAAACGCTTCAAACATGTGCTCGCTGCAAAAATATCAAAATGGACTCGCTTCCCTTTGGCCCTCGCCGTGTAAGCCAACTCGTTGGGCGCCCGATTCAACTTGAGAACATCTTGCGGTCCAATGACGCCACCCGAAATCAATATGGAGAACAGCACCCATGCTTCGTCAACGACACGGAAGGGAGCAGCTGCGCCATTGTCTCCGAACAGAACGCCCCTTTGCAAAAAGGCTTCCAAAGCGGTCCTTTCTTCTGTCAGCAGATGCAAAATAGGCAGGCACAAGGCATCCATGACGGCCAGACCTGCGGTGAGGCGTAGATAACGAATTTCTCTCCATGTTTGGGACTCCAATTCACTGTGTGCTGATGCATGCTCCTTGGTGTCTCGTTCCTTAGCCTCTCGTTGCATGGCATTTGCTTTGAGGAAGAAGATCGTGGCCGGCCACAAGTCGACAGCCACCAAAGAGGCGAAAATGAGCGAGGTCCAAACTGCGGCGAGTTTTGGGTCGTATAGCCAACCCAAACCGAGCGAGGTCCAAAGTGGACGCAACAACTCCAACTCGGAGTTTGTCAAATTTTGCAGAAGTGGTAGCCGCAACAGATGGCACAAAAACCAAGCCAAGAGGTACCATTCTGAAGTTTTTTGCCAGCCACACTCGATCAGCTTGATGAGTCTTATGTAAACCAGGCCCAATCGGATCTGAAACCAGTTCTCAACAAAGAATTTTGAAGCGAAAATTACAAAGGAGCATCCAATGAGGCTCGCCCAGTGCAGAACAGACTTCCGGTCGAAGCGCCAGAAGAACGGCACAAAAGCCGCAGCACCGATCAGAGGCCCCAAAACCCCAAAGACGATTAGCACCGGCACTGAGAAAGGGAGCCCCTGCTTCTGCTTGGAGAAATAGAGTGCCAGCCTGGCCGACCTTGCGATTTTCGCGACCTCATCGATATTCCAGACCATCCTCAGCAAAGTGATGGCAAACAGAAGGAGTGCCAGAAGCAGTGCCAGAAGCAGTGCCAGCAGTTTCTTCCAGCTGCACAGCTTGACCTTCCGCAGCAAGATGTGTTGCAAAGGGACACTTTGTTCCTTCTTTTTCTCATCATCTTCAGCCTCTGGACTTATCTTCAAAAGGCCAGCCTCCAGGTCATCTGCAGGCTTTGGCCGACTTTTGAGGATAGCCATGGCGGAAAAATGACTTGGGATGAGGAATTGGTGTGACGTGGCAAACTGATAAAACAAATCGTTGACCGGATACAACGCTGCAGTCATTGCAGTTCATGATCCTCGAGAGACATGGTGATGAGACGTTTAAGGGCTAGGAGTCTGGGATATGTTGAAGTTCATTGGCTTTTCATAACACATTAAGTGTTCCAAAGGGTCATTGCAATCACCATACAGACCCTGACAGCTGAGGACGTCTCAACTACTGCTGCGAATGGTGGCAGGCAGTGTGGAACCAAAATGCTGAAGATTATAATTGCTTACTCAAAGATTGTCCTGAAACACATCTGTAGTGTCACGCTTGGACAAACAAATATTCATAAATAATCATAAATATTCATAATATATAGCATGACGTAACATATTACAGCATAGTATAGCAACATGTTAGATCATGTAATATAAGATAACGCAACATGATAATATACGTAGTATCATAATATTATAATATCAACAAAAAACGCAATAATATAGTAATATAGTATCGTACAATATAAGAAACAAGATGGAGCCCGCGAACAAGAATGTTAGAATAGATCTGATGCTGAAATGATGTGTGACACGAAGATATGCAAAAAGGGTAGCCAGCGCGGAGGTAAAATCACTTGTTTTTAATCACGCGGTCTGTGCTGGTGCGGCAAGCGCAGCAGGAATAGCAGCACACTCTTGGAGTGTAGAGTGCGAAATGTAAAGTGCGGAGTGTAAAGAGTAGAGTGCCGAGCGACACAACACGGCTGCGGTGTGTACTTGCTGAGACCCTCTTAAAATAAACCAAAGAAACTACCTGGGGCCCCCCCCCACATCCAAGTGAGTACACTCCCTCTGGTTCCGAAAATCGTTCACTAAAATCTCGGAGATTCACTGTGTTTTTTCATGTTGACCTTCAAATCTCAATGGTGGCTTGGTGAATGTTAGTGATATCCCCATGTGTGTTGCTTGATGTACAACCAAAAAAAACGAGAAAAAAAACTGTCCGTTGGCCAAAAAAACACCGTGTTTGCTGATCAAAAAATATCGAAATCGTCCCAGCGTGGGGCTGCACACCTCGGTGGCGTTGAAGATCAAATCACCCGCCTCAGCTGGGTCTGTCACCCCCCGAAGTCAGCTGGAAGTTCGTGGGAAACTCATCGAACTAAGCCACCAAAAATCGCTGCCGCACGATGATGTGCATGGGTCAAATGTTGCAAGGTCCAGCGGACCGCAGTTTTTAATCAATTTTACTATCGTATCTTTCCAATTTTGACCCGTGCCCACACATTACCGAAAGCTAACGCTAGAGACATCCCAATACCAAGAAGACCTGCTTCAGAGATGGGAGGATTTTCCATGCTTCATCAGTATTCCAAATCGATAGTTACTGATAGTTCTCTTATTTGGGTCCATCACGTCAAACAAATCTGGCACTGGAAAAATCATAGCAGTATAGCATGATCCGATGCAACGTGGATTTCCCAAAGGTGAAAACCTCAACATTTTTGCCAAGTCCTCGAGTATTTCCTGGTGAAAAAAGTTAAATCTCCATGCAGTCCATAGGGCTGGGAAAGATCAAAAATAAGATATATATATATATCTGGGGTGATGAACATCCATGGCTACCAGCTTTACTCGTGAAAACAAACGTGGCTGCCTGAGACATCCCGGAAGTGAATGGAGCTTTCTCCATGGAATCATCGAGTTGTGAATGGGTGATTCCAGCCATGTTCAAAAGCCCAAAACCCCCATGCCGATGATCGCTATTTTAAGCCAAAAAAGCATCATTTCCCAAGGAAAAATTCCAGTTCCAGCCATGTTTCTCAGAAAACATGGCTGAGAAAAATCGTGGATCTACAAGAAACTCAACATATCCAATATACCCTCTGGTAAACGTTTACATAACTATGGAAAATCCGCCCATTGTTCATGGGTAAATCCACTATAAATCACCATTTTCAATAGCTTTTTGTATGTTTACCAGAGGGTATCCAAAAAGATCGCCATAAATTGGATGTACACTCTGGTAGCTCGTGGATTTCCAAGTGCCACGCTTTTTCTGAGACCGGTATCCATACTATGAATAAAAGAAATCCTGCGCCAGTTGGTGGTTTCTCCCATTATTTATAGGATTTCAACCAGTTATAAGTCAGTTATAACACCACTTCCCCAAGTCACCACTTCCCAAACTGACATAATAGCAGTCATCCGCAACTCGGAAGATTGCTTCCCAACTTCCTTTGATAAGTCAGTGATAAGTCAGTTTTACCCTCTGGTAATTTGTTACATAGCTATGGAAAATGGCCCATAGAAATAGTTGATTTACCTATTTAAAGTGGTGATGTTCAATAGTTTTTTGTATGTTTACCAAAGGGTATATTTCACTAATCTTCATATTTGGGGATGATTTCCCGAATCCTAACCATGATTCCAGGGTTCGGGAGAACGACGTGAGGTCGTTATAATTTACCCTCTGGTAAACGTTTACATAACAAACTGGAAAATCACCATTCTATTAATGGGAAAATCCACTATTTCTATGGCCATGTTCAATAGCTTTTTGTATGTTTACCAGAGGGTATCATGGGTCGATGATTATAAACCATCATTAACCATATAATAACCATATATTCACCATGATTAACAGTATATAAACCAGACTGATGGAATTTTCGCAGCGCGCCGCACCTCTGACTCCACACGTCGCACCGCGGCCTGCAAGGTGCGCAGGCACTCGCAGGGAGCACCGCCTGAGCACCGTCGTTGCCGACAGATGGGAAAGCCAGAGGAAAACCCATGGGAAAATGGCGAAATCCCTCGGAAAATCAAGGTTTTTTAACCACCAAACATGGTGATGTTCTAGTGATTTTTAGAGTTTTATATATATATATAATGGAATATAACATGATAACGATAACCATGAACAATAGGGACTTAGGCACTTAGGTATCAAACATGATGCTTTCCGGGCATGGAATGAAGTTCCTGCCATGGCTTTCCTTAGCAAAATAATTCGCAGGTACTGGGTGGTGCCCCAAAACGGTGATTCGCTTAACCAGGGCTTCTGCTCGATCAATCGAACTAGTCAGTGAGGGTTATACAACTTAGAACTGGGGGTGCAACACCTTGTATGGAAATGTAAAAGGTCTATTGTCGTTAGATCTGTGTATTGTTAGGAAAATGTCGCTGAAAAGTGGAGAAGATGTTCACAGATCTGCCTGCGTTCAAATGATCGGATGTTGCTTTAGATTACCATCTGGTTATGACTAACAGTTCGCCATGGAAAATCACCATGCTATTAATAGGTAAACCATCTATTTCTATGGGTCATCTATACCATGGCTATGTTAAATAACCAGAGGGTAAGTGAAAGACAGATGAAAATGAGATGCAGAGTTGCTTTGAGTTTTGAACCAGCATGAAAGAAAAGCCATGAAAATCCATGAAACCTGATCTTTTCATTTGGCATGGAAAGAATGTGATTCTGAAATGAAGAAAACATATGAAAAATTGGGTAGTTGAACTTCTTCAGTAACCAAATTTGACTGGAGGCACTGATCCTGAACAGCTCCAGGGGATTGCTTGACGTCCCTGACTTTGGAGATGTGTAACGGGCAACCAAAAATTGTTGAGGTCCTGTTGGCTAAAAACAACTGGGTCCCAAAAAAGAATGACGGAGTTCAAACCTATCTTCAACTTCAAGTGATAAGTTTCAATCATTTTCAATCGTGTTGATCAAAGCAAGTGTCAACCTAAGAAAAGTGGCCCGTAGCCCAGCTTGATTTCTGTTACTCCACGTCTTGATTTCTGCACCAAAATTCATGGCCGGGCCTTCAGAGATAGGCGCCAACCAGGCTTCCTGGTGTTTTGCTTCGTCTCTCCAGCCACGTGTTTGTCCAAAGATGCAATGTTTTAGAGATTCAATATCCCATTAACTGCTTCATTACTAGTTATAATATCCCATTATATCAATATCCCATTAATCCATTCTATGCAAAAAACTAAGATTGAATTGAAATTGGATTGGGAGTGGATTCATCATGACTAAGTCGCGTAGGTTACCAGGAATGGATTTTCGACATTTTGATTGGGGCTAGATTGGATCGGATTAGATCACGACGCATATTGGTACGTCATGTTCATGTTATTTCATGTTATTTCATGGTGCGGTAGGAAAAAAACACAGAACTTGGCATGTGACCACCACAAACCTCACCTTTTCCGAAATTTGCATCATCGCAGGCATAAGTGTCAGACCAACATATGGGTATTTGTCCAGTAAACCAGTATGGACCAGTAAAAAACAAACTACAGCTACCAGATTCTCAGGTCATATCTCAATTGTATTGCCATTTTTCACCGCCTGTGCCATTTTCCCCAACCAAAACTGGCCAACTCCTGCGGTGGCGGCCGTTGGCCTTTTTGCCCATCGTCCATAAGACTCCTCGGGAGAAAGAGATCAGTTGTCCAGAGTCGTTCTGAAACCATCCATTTTTGGGGTTCATTGAGACAGCCATTGAGACAGCCATACCATAATTCATGGAATTTACCCTCTGGTTATTTGTTACATAGCCATGGTATAGATGGCCCATTTATAGCTTTTATAGATGGTTTACCCATTACAAATGGTGATTTTCCATGGCGAACTGTTAGTCATAACCAGATGGTAGATGGACATTAAAGGATGAAAATTATGGAAATTGTTCCTGGATCTCTCTTGGCTGGCGTTTCCCGGAAGATCCGGATTTCAACATACCAAACAAAGCTATTCCGATTGGTGGTATACCTACCCCTCTGAAAAATATGAGTTCGTCAGTTGGGGTTACTATTCCCAATATATGGAAACATAAAATTCCATGGTTGCAAACCACCAACCAGGATATAGTGATGTAGTGAAAAAAAAAATGTTCCAAACCACCAACCAGATATATTGTTATTCCAATTATTAACCATTATTAACCATAGATTAACCATAGATTAACCATAGATTA